TAACTAATAACGTGATCATAGCAAGCAAAGCGTGATGATGCAGCTGTGCCTAAAGCAAAGTTGATGTTAATAATGTAGAAAGGAGAAAAAGAAAAGTGGACAAATCTTCTGTTTTGGCATGGTTGCATCCTTGCTTGTTGTCGCAGTAGCAATAGCGAGCGATGACCCTCTGCGTCCCCTCAACCGTACGACACCACCGCCCCTCTTCGCCGCCTATTTCGCCTTCTACTGCACAATTCCTTTCAATGCGCCTGATCCACTGCCTATCGTAGTAAACTTAAGGCAAAATGTCAATAAATGTGACTAGGATACAGTCGAATTATTTTAATTTTTATCATAGTTCTTGTCGAAATATAAAAGCTTTAACATTTAAATTTGCAATTAGTTGACTAAAGATGCATGTAATATCGGACCCAACGCACTGCACAAATTTACACACATTCAACTATCTTCTTCATGCAGCGTGTATAGTTCTGTCCGTTGTCTTGACAAGGTTCCAGGATAAAGGTCCGATTGTCGAATGGATCGCCACAATGCGGCTGTGTTCGTGAGTTGCATTGGTAGCATTTAAGTTTAGGACCGAAACCCAACTTTTGAGCCTGGCAAATTGCAACAATGCACATGATGTGCAATGTCAATCCAAGAATTGTCTTAGTTAAAGCCATAGTATCCGGTAAACGTGAATCCGCTACATTCAAATTCACCTCTCTCCACCAAATAAATAACTGTTAGTAGGTTAAAAAAGCAGGGTAGAAAAAACTATATGCTTCGCAATTTGACTTTTAAACAGCATGTATGGCAAAATGTAGGCGTGTTTTCGGTGTTCTAATTCGACTCTATCTTGTGCCATAATGATATGTACTGCCAATTCTGATGGTATCTGGTGAATATCTTAGTATATCTTGAATTATTTAGTAGCTGGCCTCTTTAGGCCATGCTCAGCAAGGATAAGCATGAACTAGGCGAAAGTGGTACAGTCATTTGTAATCAGTAATACTGCTAGAAGGTTTGGTTTTGTAAAACGTTATCGAGGTTCATAATAACACTTGCGCTTGGGAAGGTAGCATTATTTGGCCTCGAATTCAGTCTGAATCTCTTCCTTCTCTTAAGTCATGTTACATAAAACCACAATTTAAGGTGATTATTTAAGAATGTGCATGTTGTGATTGCAATCTTTTAGCACATGCTTTGCCAACCTTTTGGTTCCCTGATCGAATGGAAGTTTATCTCTTGGCAAGTTACTGCCTCTCTCTCCATGTTTGGTATTCCTCTTCCCAGAATTACAACTTGGCGTAGTTATAATACTTTCCTGTAGTCATATGGAGCATTCCAATGCGAAGGTAGATTTATTATTAACTACACATGTATTGTTGACCCACAGAGACAGCCGTGGGATCGTGCCAACTGGTAAAAGAAATACAAACATTAAATATTACTCGTATTTTGGTGGAAATGATGGGTGGACAGTTGGATGGATGAGTGGATGGATGTAGAGTCGCCATGCTCGCGAAGCAGTGAATTTTAACGCCTTTTGGATCAAACATCCTAACATACTTTCATTTGCTTTTATCCCCCACCCTTTTGTTACCGCTTTTGTGCCCTTATTGAGGCAATATTCTTGCAAAACGGCTCTAATTCTTTTCTTCGCTTCACCATTCTTCAATATGTCAATTGGGGAGGCTTGCTCTGATCCACGACAGCGACTGATTATGCAAATTATTGTGGGCTTCGCTACATTTCATCTCCGTAAGCCTAATTTGCATTTGATTTCACGAATCACTGTCAAATAATGTCAATCATTTATTTATGTTTGCGCAACTAAAAGAACATTCATAGAAATGGAGGTATTGCAATGCATCAAGGTGGAGTCATGAGTTGGTCATAAAACCATAAGCCCCAAAAGCTAAACAGGAGTTTTTAAATTGGCATTTAAGTCAACTTATTGTAATAACTTCAAACAACAAAATGTACCACGCAATTCCTTACCCACAGCCCGATTGCGTGCTCCCTTCAATACCACCTGGGGCAGGGCGAGGGCATTTACTCCGCGACTGGAAGTGTACAAATTATCCACTCTTGTCCTATCCGTTCTGGTTGTGGCTGGAAGCGAATGGAGGTGAAAGCGAATGGAGCCGTGAAAGCACCTCACAATGGAGTTGA